GGCTGCGAGCTTCCCTGAAGCCCCGTGCTTCCCTGAAGCCTCGTGCTGACCGAACCTGACAATGGTCACATGATGTTTCACTTAACAACCATATCACTTAGCGACAGAGTTGCTGGTCCCAATTATGGTCGCTAAGCAAGGACTACCTGTACTTATATCCATACATACACCCACACACACACAGACATACAAAGGAAGGAAGGGGGAGGGAGGGAGGGAAAACAAGCAAGCATTGGAGTATAAGGTAAGAGCTAAAAAAAAAGCTGTTTAGATCACTATTGCACTTCGTAACAACTTGCCAGAAGTATTTAGGATGGAATTGCCTTGACTTTTTTTAGGTCTTTGCCACAAGTTTCTGGGTAAATAAAGAGGCCCATGATAAATGATCACAAATCAATGTTGTCCTTATTTGGCTTGTCTGAAGCCAATTGATTAATGAGGGCTCCTAAAATCATGCAGCTCCCTGATGTTTCTCATCTCTCCCTCCTCTTTCAATAGGCGATTTGAGTGAAGATCCCAAATTCCCCAAAGTGCAGTGGCCCACCCCAGCTCTTTGCCCTGCGTGCCACAGAGAGGCCAAAAGCGCCCCTACCTGGAACAAGACGCAGGTGCTCCAGTTCCTGAAGCAGCATTATGGCAGCCACAACATCGTGGAGACCTACGTCGAGGAAGCAGATGTCGATGAACGAGACCCCCAAGGTGGGAGAGAGGCACCTAAGAAGGAACCTCCAAGGGAGGAGGACAAGGGCCAAGATCCAGAAAAGCCCTTGGATTCAAGGTCCAAAGCCAAGCAGGAAGACCCAGGGAAAAGGGCAGCTGAGTCAGCTGTCAATAAGGAAGAGAAGCAGGCGGTGTCGTTTTTGGGAATTGGCTTCTCCAACATCGACATGAGCCTGTGCATAGTTCTTTATGTAGCATCATCTTTATTTTTAATGATCATGTTCTTTTTTTTCCGGGTGAGATCCAAGCGCTGGAAAGTGAGATATTACCGTCCCTACGTATAGCGGATAAAGTGGAAGTCAACTTTCTGCCTGTAAATGGCTCACTTGTACTCACCTGCAGCTGTAATGGCAGGGAATCAGGGAATTTTTTTACAGCGCAACGTTTTTCATTTTGAAAAGGTGCTGTTCCTCCTCGTTCTCATTTACTGGTGGTCTGTTTCCCAACTGTTGGACACTTTGAATTTGGAACAGTTGCCTGGAAGAACAGGAAAGCTGGTGTGTACCACACAGGTGTTATTCTGAAGAAACATTAAAATGTTTCTGGTGATTCTTGTTCTTTTGGTGACCTGGCGTGCTTTGGTTTATCAGATGTTTCAAGACAATCTGGGCCGCTATGAGAGTGTTAAACTGATGCTGGTGTAAGAATTACCAGATTGGGGTGCAGAAATTGAGATGACCACTAGATGGAGACAAAGAGATGGGAAAAACGGCAAAGTTCTGGGCTGCCATCTAGTGGTCGAGCAGCATTTTTGTGCTGTCACCACAAAAATCTATATAACCCACAGATATATCCACCAACTTTTTGCCAGTGGAATTCTGGAAGTGTAACGAGTTATCAGGCTAATAGCCAAGAAACAGGAGTGCTGTCTTGTAGATGCAATATTGACACATTGTATACTCCCAACTGTGTGACCTCCAGCTCTTGAACCCCAGTTCCCTTAACATCCAGCTGTATTAAGCAAAACTACTGCCTGAGGATTAGGGGAGTCAGTGTCTAATACATCTGGAAGGCTGGTAACTTGAGGAATGTGTCCACCTTAAGCGTCATCCAAAGACAAGGGGAATCACAGCATGATCCCTACAACACAGAATTGCAACACCCTTATTCTGATAAAGAGAGCAGAGGAATTCAGTGGCAATAGTGGCTGGGTAGAGGCTAAAGTTTGTGAAAGGACCGAAGGTGGTGTGGAAAGAGTAGGTCATGCATAGCCAAGACTCAAATGTGGAGATGCTTAATAGAGGTGGAAAAACGCACAGAGTCAAAGGCAATTGGTGTTGGAAAGTTGATTTATTTTGTGTGATTCAGGTGAAGCGGGAAGCTCCTCGTTCTCTAGAAGTGATGGAAGTGCACTGAAGCCACCTTTGATGTGAGGGATGCTGGGAGTTGTAACTGAGCAACAATTTGAGGCCTACAAGTTCTTAATGTTCAGGGAGATGGTGTGGAAAAATGCTAATCGCTTTGTAATTAAAAAAGGAAACGCAAAGCCTCTGGTGAACAAGCCAATGGAGATGAGGGTTGTGGCGGGGGAAGGAAATGGCACATGCTAAATCTGTTTCATGGAACTCCTGAAAGAAGGTCGCTGCAGAGAGCGCTCAGGAGTTCCTCCAAACCAGATGAAGATATTTGTGTTCTCCAAACAGACTCAGTTTCTATGGAAACAGTGGCTTTTCTTCGTATCTGTCCAACTGCTTCACAAGAGAGACTGTGCAGTACTTTGCAGCTGGAGCATATAACCCCTGTCTGCAACTTCTTGAATCAGGAATTTTTGCTGGGACTTTTCCGAAGCACCTCTTTGCCCTTGGATCCACAGTGCTGTGTAACGCCTGCCTTCCCTTCCGTGGACCCTTCTGCAGGTCTCTTGGTTCTTTGCTCTGGGTGACATCTGGTGCCTTCCCCGGAGATCCCCTTGGTCCCTGATGCTTTCATGTTTTCAGTCCACGAAGGAGGCCTGAATCTTCACGCTGGCAGTTTGGGGCCATGCTGGTACCACGGTGCAGCTGGAATGGGTCTCCGAACTTAGCCTGAAGTTGCCATGGATTCTGTCCCGCCACACCTCAGCTAATTCCCAGATGCAATCCTCAGACAAAGCCAGGTGACCTTTTCTAGTGGCACACCTCAGCCGCCCCCCGCCTCTGAAAGGGCAGGCCCTGTCTTTCGGCGACTGGGTCTGTTTCAAACACCCCTCGCAAGGACCTTTGGCGTTCCCGTGTGATGAAAAGGGCTTAGAACTGTCACAGCTGGTGGCCAGCTTCCCTCTTTCAGAAGTGAGGGGTTGCAGGCCTCTTGTGACACTGCCTATTTTTCTCAAGCCCAACAGAAACTTGGTAAAGGGAAGCCCTTCAGTATCAGTTAGCCAGGTTTGGGCCTCCTGTGGCCTGCTTAGCTTGGGCTAAGCATTAGCTGAACCCAGCTGGCTGTGGCACATTCAGTAAACCATGGTCAAGCCAACCCAGGGCTTAGTGAAGTGTGCAAACCCAATTCAGTCTGAGCTGCCTTGCAGTGATGGCATTAATGGATCTGGCGAATCCAGTTCGATCAGCGCCTAGCAAAGCAAAGCCATTTTCTCTGGCAGGCCTGGGTGTCAGAGGAACATCCTGGGACATCATGATATTGTCCACAAGTGACATCATTGTGGCTTCTACTGGATGTCTAGGATAGCAGGAGAAGCAGCTGGGTGCAAATGATGTGAGTCAATTATTTTGCATAATAATGGCTTGATGTGTGTAATGTCATCCTGGCTTTAGCAGACACCTGTAGGCAGTGTCTCAGGTGGTCTCAGTCACCTCTCCTGGTGCCCATCTGGCTGAAGGGGAACGTTGATCCAAAGGCATAGCTGGATCATCTCTGGATTATGCCTAAATCCCACCAGGTTGGCAGAGGGCCTCCCCTGGCCCTATTTCCAATTTCCAGATGTATTCCTTTCTTTTTCTTTCACCGTCTGACCTGATGAAGAGTTTTGGAGACCTGGGAAATTTGTACATTTGATCTGGAGTTTTTAATTGGCTCAGTTTTTGGACTATTATGGCAATCCTAGCCCCCGTGTAAAATGACATCAGTTGTCTTTAGGTACCATCGGATGCAGAAAACAGAAACTGGTGGTTTATGTTGATGAAAGAGGAGAAAGAAACTTGATCTCCCCTGCCCAGGGATTAAAAAAAAAAAAAGCATTGTACAAACTCTGAGCATCACATCGGTTGCTGTTTTCTGCTCCTGGATCCATGGGAACAGGTTGGCTCCCTCTCTCGAGCGGCTTCTTGGGCTGCAGGTCTGGCTGATTTTTCTCTGAGTAGCCTTGCTGAAAATAGCATGGCTTGTGCTGAATAAATACACACAGATTAGCATGGGTCATCCCTACCACAAGTAGAGGAAAGGAAACATGCTTGCCTTTAGTTATGGACCGGCTAGAAGGGCACCAGAGTTTAGTGCCCTGTTCCTCCTCCCCGCTTCCCCTGCCTGGCATATGATGCCTCTCCCTTCTCTTCCTTTCCCAAGCTGGTGGGCTTTGAAGAAGCAGGATAGAGCATTGACACTTTCTTACCTGAGGCACAAATGAGCAGTCTCAAATTATCCTACTTTGGACACATTATGCAAAGACCCAGCTCTCTGGAGAAGGCTCTGATGCTGGGAAAGGTGGAAGGAAATTGAAGAAGAGAACAACCGGCAACAGGGTGGATGGACTGAGTTGCAGTGGTGGTGGGGGCTCCATTGGAAGACTTGAAGAACCAGGTTGGGGACAGATCCTCCTGGAAAAAATCTCTCTGGTTGCTAGGAGTAGACACCGACTCAATGCCACCTAATCAATGGGACAAAAGAGAAGAGGATGACCAGCAGCAAGGTGGATGGACTCAGTTACAGTAGCAAAGGGGGCACCGTTGGAAGACTTGAAGAACCAGGTTAGGGACAGATCCTCTTGGAGAAAATCCATCTATGTGGTCACTAAGAGTCCATACCAACCTGATAGCACATAATCAACTGATCAATGCAAAGACCCAGGTCTCTAGAGAAGGCTTTGATGCTGAGAAAGGTGGAAGGAAAGAGAAGAAGAGGATGACCAGCAGCAAGGTGGATGGGCTCAGTTACAGTGGCGATGGCACCTTTGGAAGATCTGAAGGACCAGGTTAGGCACAGGTTGTCATGGTGAAAATCCATCTATGGGGTTGCTAAGAGTCAGCACCAACTCAATGGCATTTAATCAATTGATTCCTAAACTGGAGCCTGCAGGATCACCTCCAGATTGCATCCCAGCTGATCTGGAGGGTCAGTCTGGTGCGGTGGCCAAGATCTCAGAGTGACCCTAGGGAGAGTCATGTTCAAATTCCACCTGGTCTACCTCAATCCAGCCTAGGGCTAGTTGTGGTAGGGAAAAATGGGAGGAGAGAGCGAGAGGTTCCCCTTATAAATGTGATGACTAGATTGGCCTGGCAGTTGGATTCACTTCTGGACATGTTCACAGGATGGATGAAAAGAAGGACATTTATCCCCGGTGTGTATGGCGGGGAGGGTAGAGAGATGGGATTGTCCAAGGTAGCGTTGCTGTCGAAAGAATTGGGTTGCGTCCACACTATTATACACTTAAGCTGGGCTAACTAACACCAAGGCTGTTTTCACACGATTTAATTTCTCTGTCCCAACTCCATGCCCCAAACCCACCCCCTCTCCCCTGTCTTCTTGGATAAGGGGATGCTTCTCACAATGCAACGAAGGCCTCCAGAGAGTTTTGGGCCCCCTCCCCACTCCTCCATGGTGGTAATTTTTTGGCAGAATTTCTTTTGACTTTTGCTTCGCTTCTGAAAAGGCCCAATCGCTTTTTGCAGCCGTCTCCCCCTGATTTTCAATCGTTTTAACGATGAGGTTCAAGGCAGCCTCGCTGCTTCCCGCCCAGTTTTGCATGACAACCTGGTGAGGTGTGCTGGCTATCCTGGCCTGAAGCCTCCCCCACCAAGTGGGGGCCTCATCATGGCTCACCCCAACTCCACTTTCTGTCCTTCCAAGCAATCTCTTTGCGCTTCCCCAACCCATTTGGCGTGGCTGGAGGCACGGTCTCTCCGATTCATCCCCGTGTGCTGGACTACAGCTCCCATAACTCCCACCTCCTCTTAGCGCTGCTGCTGTACCGCTAATGCAACACTCGGAGTCAAGCCTCAAGGGAAGGAGCTCTTGCCACCTCTGGGGGCTTCTCTGTCTGCAGCCTGTGACCCAGTACCTTACTTTGGGATGGGGAGGGGAGCAGGCCAGACTGGCTTGGGGGGGGGCAAGGGGAGGAAGCCCCCAGGAGGGGGATCGCAGGAGTCTTCAGACAGCCGTCCTCTGGCTTGCTCCAATCCGAAGGACCTGGCCAGTGTGTGGGGGAGGGGGCTCCACAGGGCTGGGCATGGGGGTCAAGACCAATGGCAGGGCCCAACTGAGCAAAAGCCTCATCTTGCATCTACCCTTTCGACTTTGCCTCCCCCCCGCCGCTGAAGAACCAGAAAGAATCCAAAGGGATAGATATGGGGGGGCGGGGGTAGTCCTCCAGTGGGTCCGGTCTCCACCCCCTGAACTGAGGC